GAGACCTCTGGGACACGGTCTGCGAGGGCAGAAGGATCCAGGTCCAGACCATAGGAGTGCGGTCCCATCAGAAGAGACAGGGATGGAGAGTCAGGAGGAGAGGCTTCTAGTCTTGCCATAGAGGCCAGCTACCTATGACACCTTAGACAAAGGCTTCATGCATCTCTCCACTCCTTCCCCAGATGTCTGTTGGACCCTTACTGTTTTAGCCTGGGTTGCCCCAAACAGAGCCCAAGACAAGGAGTCTCGTGCAAGTAGTGAATTTTCAAAAGGACGTGAGGAAGCACCAGTAAGAAGGGACCGGGTGAGACAGGAAGAAGGAAGGCACTCAGTCGAGGCTCGTGAGAAAACAAGTTCCACTGTGGATGCCTGGAGCCAGTATGAAACAGGCTGCTTCATCTTTCCGCTCCCCTGCCCGGCCCCCAAGAGGTGAGGAGCTGGAGTATTTATGCACCATTTCCCATCAGCCATGGGTTAGGACCTGTTGCCAGAGGATGTTAACACCCCAGCATGTCTGCCTTATTGTGCGGGTGGGGACGCAGGCTCTGGAGGCTAGAGGGGGCCCTGGGACCAGGAGAAGCAGATTGGAAGGAATGCTGGAGAGCACCAAGGCGGCAAGGGCCAGGGAATGAGCCGGGCACTGACAACGTCCACTGCTCTGGGCAGAGCATCTTAAGGGCTAACAAAGAGGGGTAGGAGGCTGTCCCTGCCCTTGAGAGGCTAAAGTTTCTCTGGGCTTCCTTCCAGTGAATCGAGAGACTGAGCTCTGCCCTTCCCACGCAAGGACTGCTATGAGATGGATGCGTCCGTTAGAGCCGTGGAGAAGAAACACTGAAAGCTCATTGCGGATGTCAGATAACAGTAGGGGGACCAGACCCCTGCTTTCAGCACCGTGCTCTCTACTTGACCAGAGACCAGCTGAGCAGAGCAAGTCTGGTGGGACAGTCTGTATCCACCCTGCGCCAAGACTGGGGTCGCCATGACTCTCGGTCGAGTTTCAACTCCTCTTAAGCATTTCACATGCCAGGTCCAAACTGACTTGATAGAGAAGCCGTGAGTTCTGAGGTCGGAGAGAGCTGGAAAGGAAATCTCACGTCTATAAACCCCAAAATTCCTCCAAAGTGTCCAGAGTCAAGCTTCTTCTCTGCAACTAGAATAATGTGGGCCTCTTCCTATGCCAGACAGTTGCGTGCATCTCCTCCATACACACACACACACACACACACACAGACGCACACATGCACGCACACACACACACACACACTGGGGACCAACTTCTAAAAAAAAAGAAGAGACTATTCTTTTTTTTTTTAAGGTTTTTTTTGTTTTGTTTTTAAAAGATTTTTATTTATTTATTGAGAGAGAGAGAGAGAATGGTAGAGAGAGAGCATGAGAGGGAAGAAGGTCAGAGGGAGCAGCAGACTCCCCGCTGAGCAGGAAGCCCGATGTGGGACTCGATCCCGGGACTCCAGGATCATGACCTGAGCCGAAGGCAGTTGCTTAACCAACTGAGCCACCCAGGCGCCCTTTTTTTTTTTTTTTTAAGAAGAGACAATTCCTACTGAGCAATCTCCCCCCACCCCCTTCCCCTTGACAGAGGATGCTGTTAAAGAAAAGAGTTGCCTCCCCAAGGTCATCTAGTCTCCGACACTTAGAAGGGCCCTGGACATTCTCCCAAGCACACTGCCCTAACACCTTGGGTGTTCCTGTCCTGATATCCTGAAAAAGCCACCCTGGGCTTTTCAGTGTTCTTGAGGATCAGAAACCCGACAGTTTCTACACTGTTTGTAATTTCTATAATTATTTCCTTTTTTTAACCTTAGCATTTAGACAAGCTCCTTTTGAAAATGTCAATCTGTCTTAGCTATAGTAAGGGAAAGGAGGTTTTGTCTGGGCTGGGCCCATCTTAAAAAGGAGCAGTATACCTGGGGGAGGGCGGAAGTCCAGGGAGGAGGGCTCCAGGTGAGGAAGCCAAGGTGTGGGGGAGCTCTCAGCAGCCCCTTCCCTGCTGCACGCCCTCTTTGCAAAACTCTTGTCTGCTCAGACTTGACAGGTGTGGGGTCTGTCCCTCAAATGCTGGATTCATTGCCCACCCTCAGGGCCCTTTCCTCAGTCCTATCTTCCTAGGAAGTGCTCAGAATCAGAGATTCCCCCACTCCACCCCACCAGAAATGTTCCAGAATCTCATCCATCCCCAGAGATTTCCAGCTTCCTAAGGTCATCTCAGGCTAAATGAGGTACTCCGATCCATGAAGACACTTCAGGAGAGTTCATGATTTCTTATGGAGGTGGGGCGCTGGGGGTGGGGAACCAGGTAACCATTTCCACTGTGGCCCCAGGCCTCCAGGTAATATCTGTGTATTGTAGTAACAGTCTTCCTAAAGCCATGCTGCCTGAAGGAGTGATGGGATTGTCGTGAAGTTGTAGAAAAAGCATAGGATGGCACTATGGGTCAAAAGACAGGAGATCTTGAGCTAATGGGTCTCAAAGGTCAAAGGGTCTAAGGCTCCTTCCTCCTGGAATGTTCTGGGATTCTCCCACTCACTACTCTGTGGCTCCGGACAAGCAGTTTGAGCCCGTTGGAGAGTCACCGTTTTCACCCTTTGAGTCTGGTTTCCTAAGACCCCTATCACATATTGTTCATATGGTAGAAATTTTAGCACACCACCCCTCCCCCCCAGGACATACCAATGAGGGAAGGTTTATGGCCAAAGGAAGTCTAGCCAATCCTCAACCTAGCTTGAATAAATCCCAGCCACACTGACCACAGGCTCTGCGGGGGAGGCCCTTCTACAGCCTGGTCCTTCCTTAGAGCCTTCCTTCCCTGTTCATCCTTCCAAGGAAGAGCACCTGTCCGCGACAAGCTCCAGAGAGACCCTAAGAACTCTAAAGCCATCCCTGCTCTCTGCTCCCAGCTCCCCCAACAGCCGCCTCAGCTGAGCTCAAGAGCCGCTCCGCCAGGGAAGGCAGGCAGGAAGGGCCACTGGCTTTACTCAGTGAACCCACGGGTGTGCGTATGTGTTTGCCAAGCTGGCCCCAGTTGATGAGAAAAGACTCCCCGGAGTGAAAGGGAGGGGAAGGAGAGCCTTTCCACCCTAATCAAGGCTACAGATCAGACTTTCCTCCCTGTGCTGCACAAACTCCCTGACCTTATGGGCGCCAGAAACCACCCCCCAACCCCAGGCCTCCCTGCACTCACTCAGAAGAGAGAGGCCTGTTTATCACTCTGGGTGGGACCCAAGCCTGTGGGGAATTGAAAAGAAACAGCCCGCTTAGGTTGCTATTGTTTTGTTTAAACAAACCGCTGGCTGGGCTGACTTGGAGAGGAGTGAGGGGGAGGCTGGGAGCGCACAGCAGGCTGGGCTGGGCCGCCCTGGGCTTAGCCCCCGTCTCTAATCGTGCTAGAGCCGCCAGAGAGCCAGACAGCTATTTCGGGAGAGTGGCTGCTAGGGCTTGGGCCCTCACATCGTCTCCTGAGAGAGATGGCTATCAAGGAGAGGAGCCTCTGTTCCCCAACCCCTTTCCCCTACCCTGGTGCCCCCTGGCTTCTCAGCCGCTGGCCACAGCTGGGCCCCATGTCAGCCCTGGGTAAGACAGAGCCTGACACTGGGGGAGTGGGGGCCCGTGCTGAAAGCGGGCCAAAGCAGAGCTGCCACGAGCCCTGCTGTTCCAGGGACTGAATCCGAAGGCTGCCGGATGCTTCTGAGCAGACAAGACTGCATGAGGGGGGCTGGAAGGGTGCCAGAGGACAGAGATCTCATCTGCTCGGGCTGAGGACAACCAAGTGGGAAGGGGGCCCAAGGTGGAGGGGCCCGTTCTTCAGTCTCCCTTCCCCTTCTCCCAACCAGAGGTAACCTAGACAGACAGGGATGAGCCTGGGGAAGGGGATGTTCTAGCCAAGGAGGCCCAAAGTAAGAACAGTTGGTAGACAAGCTACAGCCCAAAAGGGAAGAGATGGGGGGGGCGGTGCTTCAAGAAGAGGGGGGTGGGGCTTGAGTTTTGTAGAAGGTAAACCGCACTAGGAGTTGGGTCACCCAGCTGACCCTGAGAGTCTCTGCAGAGAAATGAGAAGAAATCGCGTGGTTCCCCCTCCCAAAGCCTCATCCTGAGCGCCTCTGCCAGGGGAAGGAGAAGAGGCTGTACCGGGAGGGCTTGGTAGAAAGGTGGCCGGGGCACAGTTAGGTGTTGGCAGAACCCATGAAGAGCCATGCTAATCACCATCATTAAGGCCATAAAACCCCACACCTAGGGGCCCCCGAGCTGTGGCACGGACCCAGGAGCCCGGCTCCAGTCCCTTTCATCTGAGCATCTCCCAGTCCTGCACAAACAATAATTAGCACCCGCCCCCGGGATCACCTCATTATCCCACAGACGCGGAGCAGAGGAGAGAAGGGAGGGGAAGGAAGAGGGAAACTGAGGCCAAACAATCTGCCCAGAGGTTGTGGGCTGACTCCATTCAAGGCTGGGGGAAAAAGCTGCCTCAGAATCAGCGGTCCAGCCTCCTCCTGCCCTCCCTGCCCTTCTGGTTACTCAGGCAGCCATTGGTCTAATGTTCTGAAGGCCCCAAAGACAGCCCGAGAGGATGGATTGGCTTAGCAAAGCTGTGAGGATTGTCAGCCCCTGCCTTAGATCTGACCAGACCCCACAGGCAGAGACTTGTGTCCCGTGCCCGGTCTAAGGGTGCAGATGATGGAGTGGAGCCGCCCTTCCAGAAATGTCCCCTCACTCTCTCCGGTGGTCAGGGGGGTCCATCTCTCACCCCCAGGCTACCGTCAGCAATGCCTGTGTCCGTCCTCCCCCTGGACCCCCTAAGGCACCATTCAAAACCCCAGAGCCCATTCTGGCCGCCTGTCCCAGGAGCAGACATACCCATTCCTACTCTTCTATCTTACTCCCTCAGGGAGAAAGAAGTCAGCAAAACCCACTTGGACTGAAGCGTGGTGGTGTGGCCTTCTGCCGCCCCAGGAGTAACCCACACCTATGCCTGTCTCTCATTGCAGGGCGCTGATATAAAGAAAGGGAAGGTCCAGGGCCAGGAGTTGTCACGTGAGTACGACCCTCCCACACCCCTCGCCCCAGCCAGGGCAACGACATGACCACAAGAACCGTAACAATGCAACTTGATGTTGAGACTTAGTGGTGTGAAAGTGCCCACTGACTCAGGAGTTTACTCTCCCTCGATAATTTAATCATCACAATGGCCTTTGGAGGCCGCTGCCGCCAATATCTCCATTTGAAAGAGAATGAAAGCCCGGTGTGACCCATGTGTCCCTCAGCTCCTGAGGAGTAAGGGGTGGGGCCAGCATTAAATGCAGGGGTCTGCTCTCCCGGAGGGACTGGCGCAGTCATTCTCTTCCCTCGGCCTGCCTCCGCGTGTTTCCCTGCACCCGGTGCCACGATGTGCTTGCGTGCGTCCCTTTTCTCTGATGCCCTCCCCTTCCCACCCCTTTCACCCCGAGCTCCACTCCGCGCCCCCCACTCAGATTCCCCCAGCAAGGGCATGCCCTCCACCCAACTTGAAGGGAATGCCCAGGTGCGGACCTGGCCTCCGAAGAGGGCTGAGCAAAAAGACAAATGACATGACGCAACATGGGGTCAGACATCAGACAGGCCTGGATTCAAATCCCAGCTTCACCACTTCCTGTCGGCCTGACTTCACCTCTCAGAGCCTCATTTCCTCATCCAGAAAATGGGGATAACACTCATCTGACCAGGTTGTGGTGAGGATTAAGGAGACGTCACAAGGGAAAGCACACAGCCAGGGCCTGGCACCAAGAAGTGGCTCCACATGTGTGTATCCCTTCCCTTCCCCCTCGCCACCCCTCATCTCTACTTTCGGAGAGGGGATTCTTCAGGAAAGCCCTATAGAGAGGGGTCAGGTCTCCATCTCCCCTGAGGATAACTTCCCAGCTGCATAGAACCAGTGAGCTCCAACTGCAGCCTTCTGCAGACACAATCACGGACGCCAGCTCTTTGGCAGTGTGCAACGTGCCCCCCTCAAGTGTACTTGGCAGCCCACGCACCCACCGGCCTTGCCAAAAGCTGACCCGGCTGCCTCTGCCCTCCACACGCCATGCACGTGAAGACACACTCCAGCACCCACCTATGCTCAGAAGTCTTCCTCAGTGTTGGCAGTGTTTGTGAAAAAAAAACAATGACTTACCCACATTTGCACATACACTGACAGAGCCCCTGCAAAACAGCCTCAGCGAACATGCACACCAGCTCTTCCGGCACCTGCACCAGTGTGGACCCCAAGTCATACAAACTCACGTGGCTCCTGACACACCCTGTGCGGTGCTCACCCTGAACGCACGCGTGTGTGCACACATGCACACACACACACACACACACACGGATATCAGATCTGCAATCAAAAAGTCAGGGAGAGATGAATAGTCAGGAATTCCCCTGGCTGTGAGCATGCTGGAAGCCCCAGTGGCCGGAAGTACACCATGAGGAACACTTCCAACAGCTCCAAATAGCGGGTGGCTCTTGTCTAATGACCAGGAGAGGGAGGGGGCCGTAAAGTACCAACACTCCCTCCCACCAGCATCCTCACTGCAAACACTCCATCCCCACCCACCCCCAGGAAAATTCCTGGCTCTTTAGAAGGTGGGGGAGAGGAGGAGAGCGATGGGGAGGGGGCAGAGGCACAGAGTTTGGAAGGAGGCCCAACTGGAACCAACCGCAAAAGTCTGGCCCACAAAACCCCTGCATAGACTTGGGGAAAGAATGAGAGATGTCCGCCCCCCCCCCCCCCCCCCCCCCCCAGAGCTCCCTCCTGCCCCAGAAAAAGATCTGCCTCCTGCACCGAGGGCAAAAGGGAGGGAGATGGGCCTTCTCCTCCGGAAGAGCCTGAGTGGGCTCCCAGTGCCCGGAGCACCCAGATCCTACACTTCCATGATCAAACCTTTGAACTGGGTCCCACCCACCCCCATAACCACTTCCAGATCCTCCGGATCCAGCCAAGAAATTGGCTTTTTGGGGAATTGAGTTCATAAGGAAATGCTGAAAAAATAAATAAAAATCCACTGGCAAACGCTCTCAGAGAGGAAGATGAGTTTCTCTTGAGGCAGGAAATCCATCAGGATAGACTAAAGCAGCAAAGGGATAACACCAATACCTGCTGGCCGAGAGAGGCCCAGGCAGTCCCACCAGCACCCACGACCCTCAAGCACCCCACACCCCCTCCTCCCCGCACTGCCCAAACTAAGGTGTTTTCTAAAGGCAACTGCCAAAGCTGAGATCCTGCCAAAGATAAATCCTAATGGTTTGTGATGGGTAAGCCCCCAGCTGGGACCCCGGGGGGGGGGGGGCGGACCATGAATGGCACAAAGAATTCTCTTTTCCTCTGGCCCAGGGCTGCCAGGAGGTTGTGGGTACTATGGGCTGGGGGCCCACACTCCGTCCCTCTTCTGTCCCCAGCCTACCAGCCTCCGTCCCCACCAGTAAAAAGTGGCTTTCACCGCTACCAGTTCTTCGTCTATCTTCAGGAAAAACAGAACATCTCTCTCCATTCCAAAGAAAACAAAACTCGAGGTAAGGCCTTCCCATCTGCCAAAGCCAGTGTGAATTCTGGGGCGGAAGTGGATGCTTGTGCATTCATGGCCAGGTTGGGACCTTGACCCCTACCCATGAGCCTTGGAGGCCAGTCAGAGGGTGGCCTTTCTTGGCAGTAGACTGGAATGAGGTGTCCTAAGGGAGATATTGGCATCAGATGTGGTCTCCTCCCGAGAAATAAGTCCCACAGACCAAGATGGTGGCTCTCATTGGGTGGGTGGGTCTGTGAGGCCGGGTCCCAAAGGGAGTAACTGGAGCCAGGGAGAGAAGCATTTCCCCAACTCAGCTTCGAATGGCATGTGCAGGCAGCTACCCCACAGCACTCCTGCAGGTAATTGTACCCTATAATTGAGTCCGATCTGGGCAAGAGGGCCCTGGAATGCCACCCTGCCAGTCTGTCTTCATTGGTTGTTAATTGCTCTGTCTGCCCTGTTCTACCTCAGTGGTGGGGTAAAAACTTCCCCTGCCATGCCCCTTCCACGAGCTTCTCTGAGCAGCCCTTCTGGCACCCTGGAGAGGATCCACTCCCTGTAGCTTGCTAATGGCTACCTGATGGTGGCCTTGGTCCCACTCCCACCAGACTGTGGAGCGGGAAGACCCGTGGACATCTGGCCACTACAAGGCCTCAGGCGACTCACCTTCTCCTATGTGAGCCATGGCCCCCTCTCTGAGCCTTGGCTTTCTCTCCAGAAAAATGGGAAATAAAGTAACCCCTGTGTACTCTAGCATCTCCCCCATCTGGGGCAAGGGAAGATGATGTGGAACACACGGATGCCATCTTGAGAGTGTGGACGGCACATCCCCTGGGCTGGCAGGAGGCTGAGTGGGTGGGTAGGTGTCATCAGCCGTTTGCTCTCACCCAGTGACCCTGACCAACTTCCACCCACTGGGAAGCCGGGGAAGGTATTGTTACAAGCCTGTTGCCCGAGGCCCCAGAGGAGAGGAACGCTGAGGAGCCCAGAAAGGCACTGGCTGAGCAAAGGAGGGCTTCAGGTGTGCCGAGCAGGAGCCACCAATGGCAGAAGGCTCTGGGCTGCCCTGCAAGTGGAGTTGGTGCAACCTTTCCACTGGTGAACCCTCCCCAGGTGCCCTCAGCACCTTGCCAATCTGTACATCTGTTTAAACCGCTTTCCCAAAGACACACTTTCCCAAATCTGGATACAAGGAGAGAAGGCAGAGAAACATGTATCTTGCCCAAGCCAAGATGAATTTCTCCAGTTCCCTGGCTCCCTCTCACCTCAGACATCAGGAGCCCCCTTCTACCAGTCCAGGCACTGCACTTTCTGGGGGCTGGGGACTAGTGCCTCAGCCCACCACGTTCCCCCCACAAAGTAAGGCAGCGCCTCGGAGTCCCACGTTAGTCCCATAGTCACAGAGCCCACACCCTGGGCAGGGAGGGGGCAGGGATCATGTTCAGACTGTCCCCTGCAAGAGCCTCCCGCAGGATCAAGTGCCTTCTGAGGGGCAGGGTGGCCAGGAAAGGAGAGAGCAGTAGATGAAGTCCGGAGGAGCATGAAAGGGGCGAAGGAAGAAGGGAGGTGCATGCGGCAGAGATACTTGCCCCTGCCTTGGCTGCAGTCCTCATGTTTGATCCTAGCCTGCCCTCCAGAAAACACAGTGGCTTGTGTGCCCCACCAGTGACGATGGCAGCAGGCGCGGAGGCTCCAAGCCCATCCAGCCTGACAGCCATTGTCAGTCGCTTTGAATCTCTGCCCAAGCCAGCTTGTTGTGCATCCCCCCAACACACACACACACACATACACACACACACACACACACACACACACACCTCTCATCCACATGAAAACTTAGGAACAGGACTTGCATCTGGGCAGAGCCCCTTGACTTCCATGCCATTTTGCTTGCTGCCAGAAATGGAGGTGGGAAAGTGATCTTCCCAGATGAGCTCTCCAGCCAGGCCAGGGGGCTGGTCCCACCATATGACACCTTCTGGTGCCTGGCACTCCTAGCTAGGGACTTAGGAGAGGACCCGACCCCACAGCACAGGGAATGTTTCCTGCCCTCAGGGGGCTTACAGTCTACTTTGAAAACACTTAAATAACAATGCGAAGCAGCTTATAATTAAGCACTTAATTGTGTGTTTCTGGCTGTAAGGACAACTGGAGATCAAGTGGATTTAGGGATTGTGTGTATGGTTCCTAGGATTTCTTTCCCTCCAAGAAGACACACCTTCTTTAGCCAGGAAGATTGCAAAAGGTATTTTACTGCAGGGTGAGGATATCTGTATTTCCAGTCTCCAGCTAGTGATTTGATGTTTGGACAAATCAGCTACCCTCTCTGAGCCTCGGTTTCCCCATCTAGAAAATGAGGGGTTGGATCTAGATGATCTACAAGTCTGTATGGCCCTGAGGCTACGTGGAAGAGGTGTGGCCTGGGCTGGACCTGGGAGAAGGAGGACATTTGAATCCTTGAGTGAAAGAGAGAGGAAGCTCTGGGCTGGAGAAACCACAGACGCCAAGATTATTTTTTTAAAAGTGAGAAGGAGCACCCCTTGTGAGGAGCGGTGAGGGCATGAAAGGAGAAAGGGGGAAGGTCGCAGAAGGCTCGTGAAAGCCCAGCAGAGGCACAACCTAGGCGGGCGCCATGAAGCACCGTTAGACGCTGCCCATGGGAGAGGCAACACACAGAAGCCACTCTTTAGAGATGACTCAGCTGGCACGGTGGGCAGGACTGGGAGGAGTAAGAACCCAGGGGCTGCCCGAGGGGTAGAGACGTGTGCCTGGATGGTGGGGGGGGGTGGCAATGGCAAAATCAGGAGCTGCCCTTGCGCATTGTCAGAGCTCCTGGCGCTCTCTGAAGCACCTGCACCGTGCGTGGGGACCCAGGGAGCCCCCAGCTGCCCAGCCCTCGGGCGGCCGGGACCTGGAGCCAACGAACACAGGCCCGAGGGCTTACTTTGGTCTAGTTTTCGTTCCATGGGAAGGTATCCTTGGAGAGGCAGGGGAGTCCTAGAGTATGCATGGTACAACCAGCCCCTTGTGTTTCCTGGATGCACAGGCAGGAACAGATTCCAGAGACTGGAGGGGAAAGTCACTATCAAGAGCCAGGTAGAGAGGCAGCTATGAAGGATAGTTGACTTGAGCCGTTCCTATTGGGTCCTTCCCTCCCTAGGACTTAGGTGTGAATGACAGTTTAGGATGAGAAGCAAGTGTGACATTATTCTAGTTGAACTTGCAAGACCATGGGGGCTAGGGAACACTGCTCAGTGTGGGGGGCTGAAACCCTCTCCAGATGGGAGATCTTGATATATCCATTGTGCGACCTTGGACCAGCCACCTCACATCTCTGGGCCTCAATTTCTACATCATCAAGATGACGGGTTGGACTAGTTGGTCTACCACGGAATGACCCTTTACAGATTTGCTCCCAGCTTACAGAGTTGCCCCCACCTCCGAGTTTTGTGAGACGAGTGCAGGGAGCAAGTGATCAGACTTGACTAGCCCAGCCAACTCCACACGTTTTGCGGGGGAGGCCTTCCATCAGATACCAGTCTGCCAGGACCACAGCGAGGGCCCTAGAAGGGGATTTGGAGCCACCTTGCTTCTAGTTGATGAAATCTGCCTTCCCCACTCCTCCCGCCTTTACACAGCTCCTTCCTCTCCCTGCCATTTTCCCCACTTGCTGGGCATGATTCACAAATGCCCTCTGCATTCGTTGGGATGATGCCAAGTGTGTGTGAGGCAGGGTTCTAGGTGCTGCGGGCACAGAAGTGAGCCACGTGGACCCGGTCCCTGCTCCCATGGATGGATGCTGTCATCTGGTGTAGCTCTGTGGATCATGGGAGCTCACAGAGCGAGTGGAGGGAGATACTCAAATAGCTCAAGCATGACCACATCCCAAACAGGGAACAACAGTGAAGCTGAAAGAGCCCGAACTGGTGCCCTCTGACCAGGGCTGGCCCAGTTTCACTGACATTTGTCCCAAAGGCCACACCTCACCTTCCCAAATGTGGGCCTGCAACACACTGGACTTGCACCTCTGCCTCCAACCCCTCCCCCGCAGTTCTAATACCCTCTTTCCCACACCTTCGATGCCCAAGGCCTAGAATCTGGCCTCCGGGCTCATCTGTGATTCACGATGGTTCGCCCCTGCATCTTCCTCACAGCAGCCTTGGATTCAGCATCTAGACTTCTACATTGTAGAGGAACCAACTGAATGAGTTGAGGGGACGTGTCTGAAGAGGGCCCGCACACACAGGGCTGGCTCCCACCTCATCCCGTGCACGCGTCCATACCACGTGCTGCCAGACATCCGCTAACTCCCACTGACCTAGTTCACATCACTGCCCCCCACGCTCCCCCAGGGACTGATTTGCCTCCGCCTGCTGACTGGGCAGACCATTTCTCCCCCTCCCCAACCCCGAGGGCCCTGCCTGCCTGCAGAACACCAGTCCTGCTGACGGCCCCCGGGAGGCTTTCCCACAGGGCAGTCTTCTCTGCGTGCACTTGACCCAGCCCTCCCCTGCTGCTATCCCTCTCCATGCACTCAGTGACACTTTGTTGTGCCTCCTCAGTCACCCACTTTTATCCCTTTGTATTACTCAGTCATTTTTCACTTGCACAGGCCCTACTTCCACCGTGAGACTCAGTTCCTTGAGGGAGAAACTCACCTCTGCCGTGGATTTCCTCTTTAACACCTGTCCTTGTGCTCAGCCCACTGTGAGCTTTCAGTCAATGAGGATGTTTGTGTATGGGACACACCCACGTATGCACATTCACAAGCCACACACACACAGCTGCACATTCTCACACCCCCATATTCAACTCATCATCAACTTCCTTTAACACCTGAAAAGACAGCCACCTCTGTGAGCACCGTGCCCACAAATGACAGTTTTGGCATCCACATCCTCCCTGTCCCAACACCGAGCAGCCGGGCAGGACCACTTGCACCCAGCCTCTCTACCAGCCTGCCCTGCCTCTCCCTGGCCTTCCCCTGACCCAGCTGCTGGACCCTGT